ATATATATATATATATATATATATATATATATATATATATATATATATATATATATATATATATTTATATATTATATATATATATATATATATACTTTTCACGCGGTTCCATGTCACTTTTACATCGTTAAACTGTATCTTAAAAATTTAATTGTTGAATCACATCAGCCAAAATCTAAATATAAAGAAAATCCCTAGCCTTAGCTACCGACCCCCGACTCAAACACACCATTAAATTCCTATGGTCTTAAAATTCACGCCCCCGCCCCTATCTATAGCAGCCGATGCAGAATGTAGAATTTCAAGTGAAGTGTTTGGAGGCCGGGTTAGTGAGGAAAGAGGTGCACGAAATTTTTACCAGAAAAAAGTCCGTAGTAAATATGTAACGATGCCTTTTACTTTGTATTCATGACTAATTGACAAACGGCCAAATCATTAGCATAATGCATTGGTGCAGTTTAAAGTGTTTTATTACGTGTTAAGCACCATTCACTGATTTGAATGCAGTTCTAGTGAAAACACTTTTCAGCGTGTCCTGTTTAGACACCATGACTGTGTGTTAAATTTTCTTTTCATGACCTTCCTGGGAACAAGATCATGATTCATGCCCATGAAAATTGTGCTGGAGGGAACTCGTTCCCAGAGATGGCGCGACTGAGAAGGTGTGATGACATTTTGTCTCCCATATGAGTCTTGAATTAAAAAAAACACAATGTTAAGGTTTGTAACTTGCAATAAAGTTCTTGCTTTGTTCAACCATCTCGGTATTCTGTGTTGTTTTGACTCTACAGAGAACTATGCAAAGACACTATTATTTCTTTAAAGTGAAGCTTTATTAGGAACGCTTTCAACTTGTAAAAACAACTCGCGACAAAGAAAAACTACTGTTGCAAATGGGAAAATCTATTTATCAGCTCTAATCTCCAATATCCACTTTACTTTGTAACCTGGATACCAGGATTACGTCTTTCTAGCAACTAACGAGATTTTAAAGCCACGTCGCTCACTCACTTCACATATAGCAGACGTGCACTCGATCGCACAAGTACCCCGTTGTTGAACTATAAGCCCTTCTAATACTTTTGAGGACACGATATTTGTGATGCAGGGAGGTGGATTATTCTTCTTTGCAGTTGGCCTCGTGTTGAGTCGCCGCGCAGGTGAGTACAACCAATCGCTTCAAAAATAGTGTTCTTGCCGGGGCGTTTTCCCTGGTAACATTCCAATCTAAGGCCCCAGCGTCAACACCAAGTCTACAGGCAGTCAATCAGAAAATCACTATCAGGGAGTATTTATAAATGACGAAATGGCCTGAGGGCAAAATGTAATACCTGATTAAAATCAAATAGCTTGATAGCAATCTTTTAAAGCCAGACTCGAATAACTCTCTTCGAGTAATTCTATTGGTTTTGTGGTAACTTGTGCGACGAACTTTATCCAGTGCATTTATTTTTGCACAGAAAAGGCAGATCTTTGAATGAATTTTGCATATGTCATTAAATCCGAATAAGCCGTATGAAATATCTCTCTGACATCCCGGTACCTTATAATATACAAAATAAACCCAACAACTGGATATGGGTTTTTACGTGATCACGAAAAGACATTTTAGACACTACATTAATGCCTCTCACTTAAGTGATGAGACAGTGAAAGTGATCTCAACGAAGAGCTAATCTTCCACCGGTGGTGGAAGAGACGACAGACGTCTTGAGCCGTATATAGAAAGGTTTATTGTGCCGGGTAAATTCCACCAGCTCTTTTCGACGAGTACAGTCTTTTAATACTACCCGAGTCACACTGTAAGAAAATCGACCAGTGTTCTCTCATTCATCGCGCCATTTTAAGTGGTCGTCAAATGCTCGCCAGTCGCAAAGTTCAACTTGATAACGGAGATTGCTCGACTATCTGGCGATTTTAAATTTGTCAGCCTTCCAGCGATCAACAAATACGACAGAAACACTGTGTGACACCGGACCTAAGGACTGCGACCCTTTCCAGTAGCGTGCGTGTTTGGCCTCATTGACATCAGCCGGCGGAAGTCGATCACACCCCTTGGGTCACTGGACTACGCACGCTGAAATATCTGCCTCTGTTACAGACCTTATACCCAATTTGTTTCCTTTATTTTGTGTAACACAAATTTACTAAAGCTATTTCCTAAAAAAAAGGCAAGTGACAGCTAACGTGCCAAGGTTGTCCTTACCTAACTTTGTATTGATTTGCTTGTTTTGTTCATGTTTTTTTATACACAACAAACAAATCAATCGTGTGCTCCGGGACCCGTGTGGTTGCGTGTGTTGTCGGCCACCAACCCTTCTTCACTAACAACTACAGAGGGAAATCTGGATCAAGGTTAGGAATTCTTCTCACATGTATGCACAGGAGTGAGTGAGTGAGTGAGTGTATGAGTTAGTGAGTGAGTGAGTGAGTGAGTGAGTGAGTGAGTGAGTGAGTGAGTGAGTGAGTGAGTGTGAGTGTGAGTGTGAGTGTGAGTGTGAGTGTGAGAGAGTGAGTGAGTGAGTGAGTGAGTGGGTGAGTGTGAGTGAGTGAGTGAGTGAGTGAGTGAGTGAGTGAGTGAGTGAGTGAGTGAGTGAGCGAGCCCTACCTATGCTGACATATGCGAGTGCCCTTGTTATACAGGATGCCAGCAGAGGGTGGTGGTGCAGGGTTTGTCTGGCACCATATCCAGTCCCGGCTACCCGGCCATGTACCCACATAACTCTAACTGCGCGTGAGTACAGTATGCTTCTGTCAGACAAAAAAAAACTGTATTGACTCAAAGAAAAGTAAAACGACTTTCGTTAGGTCTTGCACCCCTATACTGACGAACAGAATTATAAAATTGATAGATTTGAATGAACTTACACGAATGACAAGTATATACGTAACTTGACATACATAGCATATGATTAACTGTTGATAAAACATCCTTTGGTGCAATTGCCGATTTCTACACAGTAAGGCTTATCTCCTCCTAGAATGTAATTGAATTCATTTATAGGGCGGAATGTAAGGGTATTAGATTCTTTTGTACACGTGAAAAGGAAGGTAAACATCTTTGAGTGATTATCGTCATATTGTAAACAACCAATATTCAAATTACGGACATATTGACTGCGTTTCCGATTGTTTCCGCCAGGTGGAAGATTATGGTGGATGAAGGCAAGCGGATCGTCATAGTCTTCATTGCGTTGGACATCGAGCTGAGTGCATGGGCAGAGTGTAGCCACGACTTCTTAGAGGTAAGGTAAATGTAGATAATGCCTCTCATGAAGTCATACTGTTTGTCAACTGAGGTCATGACAACCTAACCTAGTGCATAGTACTCAATACACAGCGAACTAGAACAGATCATGGCAATCCAGCCTAAACCAGGGCAAGATAATTAACGCTGATTAGCCAATATCTTAAACTCGAGTGGAGCGCCCTGTACTAGAGAGAAATGTTAATAAAAGGAGGAGTGGTACGATCTTTTTCTTTCTTGAGAAAGAAAAATTAAGTCGAAACCGGTCGAATTCCGTCTCAGCGCTGTCATTTTCCCAAATCTACGAATGGCGTAGATAATACCTGTATTTGCAGAATCATGCCCGACGGCTAATTATTTGTACAGAGTCAAAGAACGTAAGGTAATTTAAAAGCTATTGGATACATACAACTACTGTCTGATACTGCTAAAATATCTTCTAAATGGTGGGAAAATGGAACATTGTGGCAACTGTTTGAAATCATCTTTTTCTGTCAATAAATATAAAGCAAATGCGTCACGTGCTGTGGTATCGGGTTGACATCTTGAAAAGTTGGTAGTCACCTGTTATGTCAATCCTCCCACAATGCCAAGTAAATCTAAATATTAAAAAGTAAAATTAAAACTGAAAAGTTTGCCAACCATGTGCGTTTTTTTAATAGGTTCGTGATGGTGCCGACACCACTGCCGATTCCCTGGCCAAGGTTTGCGGTTACACACTCCCAGCCCCGATAACCAGCACAGGGAACAACGTATATATCAAATTTAGGTATGTCGCGTGTACTTTTAAATTAGCATATTTTTGTTTGTTGTTAAGTTTTATGTTAGCATGACATGTTTCATAAGGGTATAAATTCCATGGCCACCGATTCTCGCTCATCCACAATCATTCTCGTGCACTCTCGTCCATTCTTGTGAGGCCATGTTGATTTCATTTTATGGCTGACCTACGACGTAAGTGTCGTTATGAAATTTACAGCATACATGTGCTCATTTTGAAGCTGTTTCGTACAGTATGGTCGGAAACGCGCTCGGATGTCATCCATATAATCAAATCAACAGGGCCTAAAGTCTCTCGCTCTCTCGCGTGCATTCGTCAGGTCCGACGGCAGCGTTGGCGGCGCGGGTTTTGACCTGGAGTGGTCGGTGGAGTGCCTGCCGGACCTGTTCTCCTGCGACTACGCCGCCACCTGCATCAACCAGTCCCGGAAGTGCGACCTGGTCCAGGACTGCGACGACCTGGCGGACGAGGGAGAAGAGTGCTTGGCGCAGGGTCTGGGGCCCTACCCGGCCTTCAGCGCAGAAAATAATACTAGTACGTGTACATTGTTTTCATTTACGTAAAATTAAGTAAAGTAAGTAAATCCCCCCACTTATTGAGGTTAACAATTCTCCTCCCACTTTAAATACTTTAATAGTTAAGGAAGAAAAAATTATATTCCTGCCTTCGACAAACCGATTCTAAGTAATCATATAACCTCCTTTAGCTTTATTTCCTACCTTGACACCATCCCAGAAAATGTTTACGTCTTATTTCTACTTCACAGGGCTAGGGTGCCAAAGCGACGTCCAGAACATCACGGGCTCCGGCAACCTGAGTACTCCCAACTACCCTGACTTCTACATCGCCGGGATGGACTGTAGCTGGTCCCTGGCCGCGGCTCCTTTTTCGGACGGACGCTACCCCGTCCTCATGGCCAACTTCACGGGCGACTTCGGCGTCGCCTGCAGCTCAGGGAGCATTCAGGTAATGTTGTAGTCGTCCATGTGTCGTACAAAATTTATCTGTCTTGAGAAATACAATGTACATCTTTGTCGGCGATTGGATCTCCTCACATCATACTGATATTCCACTCTCACAGATAACAACCACTGACAGCAACGGACAGGTCGGGAGCACGACCAAGTGTGGGGAGCGGGGCGGACCGGTCGCGATCGGCGCGGAGGAGGGACAGACCATGACCCTGACCTTCTCCCCGAGCTCCCAGCCTATCGGACACGGCTACATGGTGGAGTGGAGCCTCTGTCCGCCTGATTCCCTGGCGTGTCCGGAGACCGGAGAGTGTTTCCCTCCGGACAGCGGAGTGATCACCTGCCCAATTATGCCTACAACACAGGCGATGGGTAAGTTTTGATCCTGCCATGTCACCGATCTTGTGCCCTTTGGAAAAGGCAGTTAACACGACTTTCCGCACTTCTTTCAGGTGAAAATGTCCCTCGGATAGGACTTTAAATGGAGGTCCCGTGTTTGGCGAGTCACAACTCACACATGTGTAGTCACCACATCTTTCGAAATAAATGTATAGTAAGGCCTTGCCCCGGTGTGCGATGGGTTGAAGCTGAAGAAATCCCTAAAGGTTCACTAGGAACAAGTAAGACGCACATTTATATATCAACCACAATGTAACGAATAAATGCTCGTATATGAGACATTGAATGGAACTTCAAATTCCATGCAACAATGGAATGCTATTCATCTCGTCTAATAATGAACTAATAATGAAACGTTATCATCATGTGACACCAGATTGTAAATAACTGATATATCCCCTGAATTACAGAATGTAATAATACTCTTCCTAAGAAAACACAATAGATTAGCTTTAGTATCATTACTAGCTCGTTAGAATTATATCTTAGTATTAGTTGATGTATGTACCATTGTTGTTTCTTTGCCATACATTGTACCAGCTACAGTTGTTGAGCAATAAAGTTGATTTGATTTGATTTGATTTGTGATCGTTCTTGCGTTGTTGCAGCGACAACTGCGGGAACCACGCTCCACAGAAGCTCTACCGTGGACAACTCGACAATGTACGCTGAAGGTAAGAAAAAATTTCACTCCGCGTTACGTATTTTGTGTATTCTTGTGTATTCTCTTTCCCTCTCTGGAGAAAGACTGGAGAAGAGAAACTGGAGACAAGATTTAAGAACCGACTTTCGTACTTTCTGTCCGCTCCAGGTCCAGACAACACCGTGTGTTACAGCTGCGAGGGAACGGACCGGCAATGCATGACGGGAAACGGAATAGGGGAAACTGCTACGGAGTGTCAGGACGGGGCATGCTGGGTAGGTTTAGAATTTGTAACTAGTAACTAGTCAGCTCGGTCCCAGCCTGTAGTCCCAGCCCTCCCACAGGTTGGATGTCCATAGAATAGAACGTTCCATTCGAACGCGTTTCGGTCGGGTGCGCTGCTTTCGAAACTTAGAATACCGGATTCGAATTTCGGAACTGATGTTGTTACAATTTTTTTCTTGCTCTTGGACACCAATTTTTCTCAACATTTCGCACAAATTCGCATTGAAATGTTTGTTTTGTCGGGTAGGTATGAAATACCACACGGTGGATTCTATCTTTCCCTCCAGGTGGAACGGATCGGAGAAGGGACAGAACGTGTGGTACAGGCGGAGCTGCCAGCCGTCCTGCACCGCCTACTGGGAGTACGAGATCTGCATGACAGCCGACGGGCAGGAGAAGGTAAGGCCCTGTACGTTGTATCCAGAACAGAGTCATACGCAGGCTCGGCTCTGGATAGTCCAGGCGTTTCCAGAACCATGCTTTATCCAGAACCATGCCCAGTCGCTCTTGCCCACGCGTATCCATGACCGTGCCAGGGGCGAATCTACGTTCTTAGACACTCGGACATTCATTCACCAACCTTATGATTAACCAAGTTATTCACGGATATCCGCCATCTTTTCTTACAGGTGTGCAAACTGTGCTGCACGGAGGACAGGTGCAACACTCACGTCCTGACGGGCCACAACGACCCTCGGGCCCCCGCCCTCAGTGGCAACAGCGGTGCCGAGGGGATCCTGGCGTCCCTCGGGCTTGTGTCTGTCCTTGCGCTGGCAGTGTGTGCGGATACTCTGTCACTTTTTTCACAAATATTTGTGCCTTCCCTAGAAACAAACGAAGGTTTAGCAGCCGATGTAGAGTTTAGAGTTTCAAGTGAAGTGTTTGGGTTAGTTGGAAAAGGTCGGGTTAGTTGGAAAAGAAATGTACAAAATTATGACCAGAAAAAAGGTCCATAGTAAATATGTAAAGTAAGTAAATTTTTACTTTGTATTCATGACTAATTGACAAACTGCCAAATCATTAGCATAAAGCATTTGTGCAGTTTTAAGTGTTTTTTCTTGATTTTCACTGATTTGAATGCAGTTCGAAAACACGTTTGAGCGTGTCCTTTTTAGAAACCACGACTGTGTGTTAATTTTTTTCATGATCTTCCTGGGAACAAGATCATGATTCATACCCATGAAAATCGTGCTGGAGGGAACTCGTTCCCAGAGATGGCGTGACTGAGGTGTGAAGACATTTTGTCTCCCACACGGGCCTTGAATTAAAAAAAACACAATGTTCTGTAACTCGAAAGTTCTTGTTTTGTTTCGTTTTAACCATCTTGGTATTTTGTGTTGTTTTGATTCTACAGAGAATTATGCAAAGACCCTATTATTTGTTTGCTTGTTTGTTTAATTTTGATCGTTTTTCCCAAGGTATTGTATACAGCACACTCGCCGTACACATCAAACAAATGAGTTTCAGTTCCATACGATTACCATTTTATTTGATTTAAAAGAGAGAATCACAAGATAAGAGTTGTTGTATACCCTCCTCCTACTGAAGCTACAGAAAAGGCAGGTCCACAATCTAAGAATATATCGGCTGTCGTTCACGGCAATACACGTTGAAATGAAAGGCTGTAAGGTACTAGGTAACTTGTTCGTTTTACAGCTTTATGTTTTGATGGTGGTATTTCGTCTAATGCCAGACCTACACACGGTACAAACGATATCATTTGTTGATGACACCAAATGTTATTGAGTACAGAGGGGTGACTATACTGACGTCATTGCCATTTTTTGGCCTGTGCTTTGGACAAACAAAATCGTGACTAAACTTTCTCTACGCTTGCTTACAAACTTTGTTCAGAGCTAGCCTTAATAGCATTGCATTCTCTAAGCCATTCATGGCAAGAAAAAACAAGAGATTTCAGACTTCCGGTAACCATTTGAGTATTCGTGACCTTCAAATTCACCCATTTCCTGTGCCTGGCCTTTTGACATGTCATTCTGCCTGTCAATCTTTCCTCACCCACTTGCTGTTAACCTACTCTATCCGGACAAACAGATACACAAACCCATATCGCTCAGCCACCAAACACAATACTTCCCAAAACCTTGCATCCTACACAGTCTTAATCCACACCCACAGTATAATCTTTTCGATAGTTATCCACACACCAGTGCGGTTACGATCAGAGCTAAGCAGCTCCTTCACCGCCTCCCACTTAGTAACCTGGGATTCCTTGGACTTCCCGCCGTCATACATCTCAAACGATTTCCCCTTCGATTTCACGGGCGTCACCCTGGACTTGTGCTTGTGCATCATCTCTCTCATCTGTCGCTCCACGGTAGGAAGTGCAGCCTCTGAACACGTCGCGGGGGATATGATGACGATCTCCAAGTTCGGCATCCGAGCAAAAGCTTCTCCCATGGACGACAGGCTCTCAGCGAGCTCGTTGTTGCTCAGAGCCATATCCTTCAGCCCTGTCAGCGCACCTACCTTCTCGGCTATCGTGGCTCCACCCACCGGTGTGAGAGAAGTGCTTTTAAGGTGTAGCTTCTCCAAGTCCTTGAGCGAAGAGAGTTTGTCCATCAGCTTGCCAATGCCAGCATCTCCGATGACGTTGCCGTTAAGATACAGCTCCTGGAGGCTGCCCAGTTCGTCCAGTCGGTCGATGACCTTCCCAGAGGCTTCGGCTGATGCCATACTGTAGGTGAGCCGTAGTTTCCTCAGGCGCGGCATGTAGGGAAACAGCAGGGCCAGAGCTGCGGCGTCGGTAGCCGACAGCTTCAGCTGGTCCAGTTCAAGTTCGGGCAAAGACCGATCGGCGACTTCGACCTCCGCGACGGTGTCGACCCCCGGCAGGTTGCCGAGCGCGCGGTGCATCGAAGAGAAGATCATGAACGCGTCCTCGCCGGACCGGTCGTCTTTGATCTTCTTGCTCGCAGCTTGCAGGTAGTAGGCGACGAAGTGGGTCAGGGTCTCGGGCAGGGGTGCAGGCAGATGGCCCCACGCCCCCTGGCGATCCTTCCAGTACTTGCACATCCACGGCCAGAAGAAGTCGTTGTGCAGAAGAAGCCTCACCATGGGATAAGAGCTGTAAGACTGCGTTAAGTTGGTCGACATACTCTTGTCTCCTAAGCATTCGTACACGTAGGCGATCCAACCTGTGGGGACAGGAAATCGGAGATTTCAGACTTTCGAGAAGTATTTTGGGTTTTGGGAATTTTCAAGTTCACAGAAAACCGGGGTGGTTTTTATTTTGCTTTCGAGAAGTGTAGAGGAGATTAACATGCATGATGCAATTTGATCATACCACTTCCTGAATTCCTCCACGTACCACCCACTTAATCGCACCGAGTCCGTGCTAGGTCACCTTCGGTCGTTTGTTTTCTATTTGCACGTTCACATCACTCAGTTTGAATCATTTTGGGATTCCCAGTGGATGCCATCCATATAATCAAATCAACACGGCCTAATTGTAATTTTGCCAGAGAGGCTTGCCCAACAATCGTATGTAAGGACCTCGGCAACAAATTATGCATACACCTTGTTCATATCCTGTCTGGCTGGGTGGGTGGAACAGCTCAGGCCCCAAGGGTACAGGCTAGATTGGTCTGCAAAGTTTCATCTATCGAGACGTAAACAATTCTGAGAACAAGTTGGGCAAGACTCGACTAAAGCTAGTGAGTAACAGCAATGGTTAAACATATTGCTCCATGAGAACTGAGGAAAGTTGCATTACAAGTTCTGAATGAAAGACATGCTTTAAATCTTACTCCTTCAAAGCCGCATATTTTACAGTGTTTGCGTTGTTTAATTAGATGTTGAAGTATCCTGATAATATGATAATGTTTGGTAAAATTGAGCTCTAAGTGGAGTAGTTTATCGAGGATATGATTAGAGTTACATATAATCTGCGACATGAAAGCATTGGACCTAGATGACTTTTTTTAAATTCTGACAGGTCAAAACTTTAGTTTTTAAGATTATACGTCATACGACTGCTTTCTCTGGGCACGTTTTAGCAAGAAGTTACATTGAACTTTTGAATATTCATTTACATTGTGGCTTTCGGAGAAATGTATCGTGGCTTTTTTCTGTTACATATTGAAGTAGATACAGCATTTGTCGTCATTTAAATGTACAGATAAGACAACATATTTACCGGAGTAAAGCACTACTACAACGCATATGGAAATAACCCTCAGAAAAGTAAATGCAATGTACAATCTGTGGATAATTGTGGTAAAGTTGTTGGTGAAAGGTTCTGGGTTAGAATCCCTAGAGGGCCCAATATTTTGCCAATGGGAAAAGCACTTAAACACCAGTTTACATTTTGGAATCAGGTAAAATGAGTACCTAGCTTTGTTAAGGACGTCCTCTAGGATACCACGCAAAGCGCAATTCCCGAGTTTTAGGATAGCCACACCTCAAGCAAGATCCCACTACACTTATTGAAAAGGGTGTGAGGTTCAAACCTTGTACCGTCCAGTCTCCCGTAGCTACATAGCTTTTACTCACTGTACAAAACTGATGTGTTCTGTCCAACGGTATGTTACCTGAGATGCGAAACAATGCCGCAGCTACTGCAGGCGTTTCTACATCTTATAAAATGACATACCTTCCTCTTTCTTTTGCCTCTGGAGCATCGCAGCCTTGACGCTGTTCAGCATGTCTTTACCCTGGGCGGCGCGTGCCAGAACTCGGCATACGTCCGGGTGCGTGTCGGAAACTCGCCGGCGTGTCGGTAGGGACCTGACGTCGGATCGAGGAAACAGGTACCGCCAGTCTCTGGAGAATTCAGTCGGATGGAAGTTGGTGTTAGCAGGCGAGACTCGCGATATGTGCGGTGGGATTTTATAGAGTACTACATTCTTCGTACGATATTCTTGCAAGTTGACGACATTTTTGGGTCGTTTACAATTCTACTAGCTTCTTGTGGAATAGGCTGTCTTAGCTGGTTCTCTCACAGCCAGCTTGAAACTTCTACCGCATCAAAATCGCATGACGAATTTAACATTGAAAAGGGACAAAATGTCGTTATGATCAAAGCAAAATTGATGTTACACCATGATACAACTACTACCAGATGCGACAGCAGTTGCCATTCAATGATAGAATGTTCGAGACTGGCCTTCCGCCACATGCAGACAAACTTACCCCTGCCTAAAGGCCTCTTCCGAAGAGTACCGAGCGTTTCCTAGGGCGGGGCACTGCGCGGCAGCTGTGCCATGGCCGTGAGCAGTCGCAGACGTACTGTTGTCTTGGTCAGCCACGCTTGCGAGCACGACCGAAACAACGGCCTGAAAGACGAGCAGCCGGACTCGCGATCTCACCGCCATGACGCGGGACCGAGTGTGCTCAGACTGTGACGGTATGCACGTATATACATATATATGTATATATATTTCTACTTCCGAACCGACAGACTAATCAGGCACCACGAAGTTTGTTCCCTGTTTGGTCATGGGATTGACGTTTATTCAGAAATCATTTTTTAATGACAGTTGTTTTATTGGTAAGGTTTTATTGGACTAGAATGGTGACATTTCCGAAGCAAATGCGAGATGTTTAGCCTAACAAACTACTGCTCCATTTATTCTTTCTCATGGACAAAAGCATTCATATATATGGTGGCCAGCCCCGGCCTCCAACTCTGTCCTGCAACTCAGTGCTACATAATGTAGCTGTAGCAGGGTATCTGCTACAGCTCCAGTTACCATGGTGACAGCCGTCTGGTTCAGGTCATTGACATTATTTTCTAGAAGAAGAAACAGAGCAAAAACAATGTTTCCTTCTGCTTAGACACGCTATAGGTAGAAATTAATTATGACAAGACGTCTCTAATTCCGTATATTTTTGTTCTTTGTTACAGTAGATGTTAAATGTTCAGAGTCATAAATAGTGAAGACAACAGAAAAGAATACCTCAATTCCTTTTCACCTTTTATCGTTGTCATGTTTATTAAATCGCATGAAACCCAATGCCTGTTAGGCCGCCATGACCCTTTTAATGTTTAAAAACATTTTACCAAAACCTACATGGTTTGGATACTTAATGATCAATACATCTCCATCTGATAAGATCAATATTATCCAACGTATGCACATGATATGTTAAAAAGGATACTGAAGACTTCACTTCATTGAAATACAAATAACTGCGTCTGCCTCCATGTTGGCGTCCCTATCTGCATAATGGTGTCCCGGCACATAAACGTTCTAAAGTCTGGTGTCCGCTGTCTCGGGCTCAGCATGCCTCCTCTGGAAGCACTGCCGCGCAGTAGACCTCATCCGTGCGGCCTCCGCCGTGCCCAGCTCCGCCACGAGACGCGCGAACCTCCCGCTGTCTCCTGCCTCCAGTAAACGGTACGGTTCTCCGAACTCCACGATTCTGCCGTCGTCAATTACCTAGCGTCAAAAACACAGAAATCACGACCAAAATCTAACATCAAGACCTACCCCTCCTACCAAGTTTCATGACAATTGATCAAAAGCTTAAGCTTCTTGAGTTATCTTGCTAAACTGCATACATACATATATACAGACAGACAGACAAACGCTACGAAAAATATTATTGACAAAGGTAATAGGACTGTAGGTTTCATGTGCTTGTACTTTGCCTACCATGATCCTGCCTGAGTCTATAACAGTGTTGAGTCGGTGAGCGATCGTCAGCACGGTACAGTGTTCAAATCGGGATCGGATCACCCGCTGGATCAGCTCATCGGTTCTGCAAGACAGGAAAATAAAACAGATCAGATCAGATGGTCTCGTAAGTCCAGCCTGGAATTCAGTCTGCTTTCAACGGTCGCCAAACGCCAAAGCGGTAGTGACGATATCACAGTTGGAAGCGAACTAAAGCTAAGAAGCGCCAAAAACAGTTACTCAAGCAACTGGATATGATTTTGAAATCATATCCAGTTGCTTGAGTAACTGTTTTTTGGCGTATCGTATTACCTGGATGTCTAACCTTCATCGACGTAAAGCTAAGAAGACTGGATTTTGCAGACTATAGCTAGTCTGACCATACCATCCGATGCTTCTTCGGGGGGCTTTTGCGAACAATGCGGTGACTGTACGACATGGTTGACAGCACGTGGGTGACGGAAGATTGACAGGCAAACTGACAAGAGGTCAAAAGGCCAGACACAGGAAGTGGGGTGAACTTGAAGGTCACGAAAACTCAACATACCAACTGGAATTCTGAATTCTGACATTTCTTGTTTTGTTTTTGGAATGCAACTTAATAAGATGCTGGTGTAACAAAACTCACTACGAAGCCCACATAGTTGTGATCGCTCAAACGGTACTGCACAGAGCTAACCCTAGAGACTGTTGTTCGAATGTATATGAAATGACTGACCTAGGGTCCACATTAGCAGTGGCCTCGTCAATGATCAGTATTTTTGTCTTCCGCAGCAGCGCTCTGGCCAGGCAAACCAACTGCCTTTGGCCCACGCTGAAGTTAGTCCCACATTCGGCCAATTCTGCTTCAAGTGCCATCGACAGCTCTCCGACAACATGCTTTAACTGGACCTGAGGTGGATAAAAGTAGAACACTTTCATTTGTGATTGTGTAGTCAACGACATGTTCTCGAACCCTCAAAACTTTTTAAAATGCAAAATAAAACATAAAAATGCAAATCTGATGGACATGTTGCTGCTGGTTGGACTGCTTGCTGCCGTGCTATCATTGGTCGAACCGCTAATTACGAAGTTATCATTGGCTGAACCGCTGCCAGGCGAAGCTATCATTGGCTGAACTTCCAATTGGTTTTCTTTTTAATGCCCACGATCATGATAATGATCATTCTGGCATACTCATTTTCAGCTGAGCAAAGTGAGGAAAGTCAAGGGCACAATGTTGGTGCTTGGTGGGATTCGAACCCGGCACCTCTTGGTTCTGAGCCGAATGCTCTGCCGTTACGCCACGCAACCCCACCTGTATTGTACGTAATAGACATTCAGGATCGGATTCTCACTTGCTCCAAAGCGGCCCACAGCTCCGAGTCTGTGTACTGGTCAAACGGGTCCAGGTTCTTCCTGAGACTCCCGGAGAACAGGACAGGGTCCTGCGGGATGACGCTGATCCGGCTCCGCAGGTCGGACAACCCGAGCGTCGAGATGTCAACACCGTCGATACTACAGGCAAAGAAAAGCGCACGTGGAACCGCAATGTTTCCTAAATGTATAAGTAGATTCGTGGTACGTACATAGCACATAGCACTGTGTGACAATATCTGAAAATATCTTTCCGTGTATGCGTGTGTTTGTCTGTCTGTCTGTCTGTCTGCCTGAAGTCTCCGAATTCTTGTTAACATTGCAACAATAATATGATATGATAATCAGTACGAAAATAGTGCAAAGAGTCACATTTTGTAGATGAACAGCAAAGCTTACATTCAATAAATGTGAAAAGCGACCCCTTACTTGATGAATTCTTGGCAACGCCTCTGGGCAGAGGCAATGCGACCAGCGACCATGTGCGTTTCAATATTTTCTTGTTCCGGCGTGCAGAACTGAACGAGCTCGAGGAAAACAGATGTGAAGAAGACTTTCTAACCTTATTCCTCCTTTCATCTCAGCCATCCTCAGCAGCATATGCATTAGCGAGCTCTTCCCTGCTCCAGTCCTGCCAACGATCCCGACCTTAGTTAACATAAGAAATGGCATATGACATCATTTTCTATTTGCCCTTGAGCATCTACAGATGTGTTGAATATGCATACGAAAAAAGCAGGTAAATGTTTACGATATGTATCAACGGAAACCTTCTCTTGAGCGGCAATCGTTTCGTTGAGTTCCTTCAAAACGTCAGGCCCGTCCTTGGAGTACGAAAACGAGGCGTTGTGTAGTGCGATGGAGCCGTGCTGAGGCCAGCCGGCCGGCGGGTGGACCTTCGTTTCCGGTTCTACTTCCGGGTCAAGTCTGGTGTACTCCAGAACCCTTTCCGCTGAGGTCATCTGGCAGGGTCGAAAGATTGACACGGCATAAACATGGAATAACAGCATGTGACGTATTAAACACGCATGTTGCCATTTTTCAGATAATAAGTCAATACAGATAAAACGTGCATACAGGGACATATCAAGAATCATAATATTGGTATTGCTCTCGACTCATGGCCAAAACAGAATAATAACATTACTATTTTCAAACCAATCCCCTTATGAAATGGCCTTTCCTTCTGTATTAAGTTTTTATTAGAGATGCCACGTCGATGATCAATACGCTTTTTTTGTCCTGCAATGTCCCGAGTTAAAAATGCCTCCTTTCCTGTGGCGTCGCCAAAAAACGAGCGTTATCTCACCATGGTCTCCACTTCCGTACTGAGCCTCACGGTCCACTGGAAGAACACAGTCACGACAATGGCGTATGACACAGTCAGACCAACCAGCCCTCCGTCTAAACCTGGGAAATTGTTTACATTTAGTATAGACGTCGTTATCATGGACACATTCACTTGAACACCGTCACTTAACAGAGATGGTAGACGATATAAACTCCCTGGCACGTTTGATTAATTGCTGACGTCACGTATACGTAAAGTCTCGTGTGAATAAGGTCACGCATCTGTTAATTGTAACTCTCGCGAGATTACGTTCGGAAGTGATTGGTCGTTCATTATCCTGATGAAGACGACAGTGGTCGTTGAAAATTTGACCTCTGTGTAACCCTTGTTTTGGAATAAAGTTTATAACATTTTCACTAAGACGACAACCTCTACAACCTCTGCCCTTACAGTTGTGGACAATTATGGCTCTGGTGAAGATGACAGTCAACGAAACGTTGGGTCTTGTTTAAGAAGTTGTTGTGAATAAAGAATTTTGCTATTAATTCATTCCTGTAAAGTATACGTAAGGCTTAAAGACTGATGTCCACACTCACTGTTAGCTGCAAGCACACTACAGAACGTCACAGACGTTATAAAGGCCGCCGTCAGCAGGTCCAGCCGGATCGCCAGCCATCGCGTGGTACAGAGGTACAGGAACCAGGCTTCCGAATGCTGATCCTAAAGAAAAGTACGTAGTCTTTATGATTTGGTATGTTTAAAACATCAAGCTCACGAACATCCATGTCTACACACCAAGCATATACTGAATTGCTGCTTCTTCACTTTTGGGTACGAGTACATAATGTAATCCAGCACCTTAGGGTGCCTGCTACAGCACCACTTACCATGATGACAATGTTACTGAATCAGGTCAGTGACCTCGTTTTTGGAGAAGAAGAAACAGAGCAAAAACAATATGTTCTCTTTCTGCAAAGGTAAACATAATTTCCAAAAGTCTGAAGTTTTTGTGTCAAAACTGCGAATGGTCCCTACCTGGTGAGCGTCGAATTCCCGTAGCACAATGTTGTCGGCGGCGAGAGCTCGGATGGTCGTCAGTCCTTGTAGAGTAGCGGAGAGATGGGAGAACACTGGGCTCCGGGCTGCAATCGTAGGTTAACGACATGTTGAAGATGTGAAGAAAATGTATGATTTGGATTTCTTTCGGTGGATTCCCCACGACCGTAGATAAAATCTTATAACTTTAGCAGTATTAGTAGGATCCTACAAATCTATATTGTGTGTTTTGGTTACTGCGTGGACACTTTCGTCGTAGGTCATTGCACGATTTTGCTGTCAGAAAAAAATCAAGCAGGCTGCGACAAAACCAACCACTGAATATCTGAGTGCTAGTCATAAGCTGAGATTTACCAGTTTAATGCATGGTCTATGGTATCCCGGGGTCTGAACCCGTGACCTCTCTAATGCAAAGCTAACACTCTAAACATTAGGCCATTGCAGTGGCATTAGGCCACCTTACTTGTGGCTTCCAGCCTCTTGACGTCCCTGGACGTTGCTAAGAAGTACTGCCGCAGGTAGAGGAAGATGAGAAGTAGGGGCACGACAGGAATGAAGACCCAGGGGTTGACCACGCCAGCTAGTAAAACGACTCCAACGGTCAGCAGCGTGTACTAGGAGGGACGGTGATAAAATATAGAAAGGAAAACGGATGCAATTGAATAACAAAATTCCTTAATCACAACAACTTGTTTAACAAGAACTGACGTTTCTGTTACAGCACCAGTTACCATGGTAACAGACGCCTGGTCCAGGTCACTGATCTTATTTGTTTGGAACGAAAGAAGAAGAAGAAGAAACAAAGTTTGGGACATCACTTATTGCGTATCCCTTTGAAGATTGCGCAGAAATTAATCGATGAAACTTCTGATACAATAAAAAGTTTTCCAACCATTGCAAAACGCGAGTAGTCCTTTCTGAAATATACTTACTTGCACAAACTCCACAAACTGCCACGGTAACTGCTCATCCAGCTGCCCCATGTCCTTCGAAAACCGGTTCAGGATGCGACCTGTGAAGTAAAGTTTCAAAATTCAGAATTTTTTCAATCACATCGCGAATTCATTACGACATTCACATTAAAATAAATGGAAAACCGGAAATTGTATTTGAAAATCAATTTTCACTGCCCTTAAATCTATTTGGGTTCCTTGAAGTAATTTTCTATCAGCTCACCGACTGGATTTGTGTCGAAGAAGAGAATCGGTGTCCTGATGATGGCGTGAAACATGCTGTTGTGCAGGTTGTGAGACGCCATGATGCAGTTGTAGAACATGAAGAGCGTGCGCACAGTACTCAGCACCACGACTGCAACGGTAACTCCAGTAAACACGTACAGGTAAAAACTGCTGTCCACCACTGTCGGTGGGATTGTCTCTTTCTCAGATATGTTCTGAGCGCTGGAATGGTTTGTTCTCGTGTTTAGATATTCCTCTTCTTTTGCCGCCCTGAGTAAGAAACAAAGATGATACTATATAATACAGTTTCAACTTAGATAATTGACCACCTAGGATAGCAAGAAATTTCGAAATCTCCAAAAACTATAATAATTAAGGCAAACACCAAATGTTGTCCCATGAATTTCCTATTTCGGCATAAATCTTACCAATGTGCAAGCCACCAATCCGTAAACACGTAGGAGCCCTGGAAAATAAAGATTGACAAAAAGCAAGATTTGAAATTAAACATTTTCAAAGCTTGGCAAGTCTTGTTGCACGATCTGATAATCTATCAGGTTGTTTCTTCACAGTTTGTATTTCATTGCCCATTGCTACAGATAGATATGCCGAGAATTTGCCTTTTTATATTCTTGTTGATACGTTCATCTTCCAATCAGTGAGTTAACGTTTATCTTTGACACATCGGCAGACTTACGAGGAAAGAGAATAAGACCGTTGTTTGGATTACTGTACACTACTTTGTCGTTGCGCACCTGATACACGACGTTCAGTACCAAGGACAGCAGCAGGCCAAACTTCCCGAACCCTGCCGTCAGATAGTCCCAGTACACCCGGAGTGACACGCTGCCTTCAAACCGATCCTCGTCCGGTTCCTCTGGGACTGAGTCTTCGGTTGGCTGTTAAAATTGATCAACCGTATATTTTAATGGATAGAAATGCATAACAGTTAATGAGTTTATCCAATTTAATTTCAGTGGCAATACAAAAAAGACATTTACTGCCATTTCTTAGCACCTTTTGTTATTGCTTCATACTTGAACCGTTTGAAATAGCCACAAAATTCTACGAGGAGCCCTTAATTTTTTGGACCCTGAATAAGTAGCTAGAACCAGCCTGCAATATGACAATCAGATGTCTGGTCCAGGTCATTGACTTTTCTTATCTGGAGAAGATGAAGAAGAAACAGAGCAATAAAATAATGTTTTCCTTCTGCAAAGGTACAAATAATCAAGGTAAACACGTCAGAGAACCTCGTCATCTATGGTATCCACGGCCTCGACCACACCTCTTCTGATCGAGCTTTGTCTTCGAACGAGCCGTTTGGACGGGAGCACTGGGTTCCCGTCCTCTTTCTTCGTGTGAATCAGGTCGGAAAAGACGAACCCTTGTTCAACTAGTTCTGGGTAAGTACCAACAGCAAGCTGTCTGCCCTGTGGTTGAAACATACATGTGAAACATGTCTTACAATTGTGTTTCATGTGTTTGTCAAGAAGGATAAATTCTCTATGTTGAAAAAGGCCAGAAGACGACATTCCAACTTGAAATTCATTTTTTAACAAAAAGCAAGGACAAAACAATACCTCGTTCATGATTAGAATCTGATCAGAGTTGACGAGATACTGCAGATGATGAGTCACCAGAATTCTCACTTTCTTCTTCAACATTCCCTGTATACATCTGGAAGGATGTACATGTAGATACGCATTATTGGGGAAATTTTAAGGACTTTCAAGCAAAACACAAGAAATTGGACTTACCCAAATGTTCGACTGTGCAACTCTACCAACACAGATGAAGTTTGAACATTGTACGTGTGTTTGTTTGTTTGTTTGTTTGTTTGTTTGTTTTTTACCTCTCAAAAATGTGCCTTCCCACTTTGGCATCCACTGCACTGAGTGGATCATCCAGAACGTAGATATCAGCATCTCGGTACACAGCTCTGCGAAAAATATATAGACACTGCTGTATTAGAAGACTGTTTGACTGGGCACAGTGGAATAGTTTTGAATGTCTGATCTTTGAGCTGAGTTTGCGAGTAGGTTTGTCCTAAGAATGACAGCATTGGGGTGGGAGGATTGACAGGCAGAATGACGGGAGGTAAAAAGAATCAGGCTCAGGAAATGGAGTTAACATGAGAGTAGGTTGACAGCACATGGGCGGAGAAGATTGTCAGGCAGAATGGCAGCATGTAAAAAGATGTTTGTGTTGTCTTGCGTGAGAGGGAAAATAGATATTCAAAATCAGTGACAAATTTACAATAATGATTAGAAGAAGGTGCTTTAAAGAAAAACTCTGTTTGCGGAGGCTTTTGATAACCTCATCGTTTAGTAAATCATGAGTAAGTACCGTGCTAGATTGATCCTCGCCTTTTGTCCTCCACTCAGAGTGATGCCGCGGTCACCAACAAGCGTCAGGTCTGAGTTTGGAAAAACTTCCAGATCCTGGGACATATCCAAGTATTCACGTCATTATACAAAACATTTAAAGGTTCAAAACACCACCTGCATATAGGCAGGTTAGCGCCGGTAAAACTGGAGCTGTGCAGGTAGTTCTGATGTCTACCTGCAACCTAACTTGCACTGGTCCATGTACTTGGATTTTATGTGGGTGAATGCAGATTTTTATTTGCTACATTGACTATTACCACAATAATAGGCCTTTAGAATATTTTTGTCCACTTCTTTGAAAATGAATACAATATATCATCTCCCAGGAACGAACAAAATACCTTGCTTAGTCCACAACAGTCGATGACTTTCCAGTACTTGAGGTGGTCATAAGGGTGGCCGAAGACGATGTTCTGCCTGACGGTACCAGAGAACACCCAGGCCTGCTGAGAGGCGTACGACACTCTCCCGTCAACTTTGACCTCCCCGGACGACGCCGGCAACTCTCCCAGTATCACACTTAGAAGAGACGACTATGATGCAAGGAGTATCATGTCCAGATATAACATGGTAAAACTTTCGTCTATAAACGTAAGCGTAGTTGTTCAACAAAGCCTTGTACCAAGTACGCAATTATAAGATACCGAGACCCCAGATGCAATACTTCTCTCTTATTGGTTACCACGTACACTCTCGCACAGCTCACGTCCCCATAGTTTACGAGAAAATACGAAACTTTGACCAAAACAATCATCATACCTTTCCAGACCCCACGGACCCGACAACAGTAAACAGCTGTCCATCCTTGACCCTGAAGTTCACGTTCTTCAAGGTTTGCACTTCTTTGGACTGCAAAAGAAAGAAAGACATGTTTCTTTCATCACTCTGACATCGGTGGCACAACGAAAATGATTCAATGGACATCATATAGACGTTCACAATATCCAAATTATGCTTAAGCATTTCATGGCCAGATCTGTACATTTACCGTTGACTTTGTGATGTATTGTTCTATTGTTGCTGTTTTTGTGTGGAAGGGCAACCTGTAAAGGTGCGTGTGCACCTGTTTTGCCCTCCCTTTCATTCATTCCCTTTCGATAAATTCAAATATGCAAACAAATAAACATTCAACCAATCAGGCGGAAAAAATACAATTTAATATGTTGATTAGAGCAAATCAAAGAATGTTGTGAGTACCTCATCCCATTTGGCCGAGAGGTTAGACACCACGACTGAAGGACTGATGTCCAATGATGAAATTTTGTAGTTTTTATCTTCAGCATCATCTGACGTTGCCTTTCCTGAAAACTTAGGTGGATGGACCGGATCCTTTCCGTCATGTGCGTCGGTAGTAAATGCCTTGTTCAAGAAACCTTCCGCGTTCTTTGCTTCCTTTCTGATAATATTGTCTGAAGTAGGGTGTACATCTTGATTCTTTTCCGGTGTGTCTGATATAGCCAGTTGACTCACTTCATCCAACAAGAGAAAGTCCTGTCGAAGAAACGCGAAGAAAACACGTTGTAGCGCATGAGTAGTAGCAGTAAACTGGTTAATTGAATACTAGTAGTGGTCTACACATGATGCCACTGTCGCAGAGGAAACAAGCTGCCAGGGGGACCAAAATCTAATCAAAGTTGAGGTCCCATTAAGGCCAGGCCAGGCTACCAAATATCGATATAATCCATCTAACCCTTCTTGACTTATCGTGCTTACACACAGACACACACATAAACACATAAACACACATACACACACACATACACACAAACACACACACACACACACGAACGCTACTTAGCGAAAGTAATAAATGTGCCCGTCCCTGGGGCGTTGCCAATAAAAAGCGCGGTACCTGTATCCTGTGGATGGCGACAGGAACTGCACTGCTAGGGGGACGAACGTGAGGAGTAATAAATGCCCCCGCCCCTGGGGCGTTGCCAATAAAGAGTACCAGTACCTGTATCTGTATCCTGTGGATGGCGATCAGCACCTCGGACAGGAACTGCACCACTAGGGGGACGAACTTGAGGAGTAAAACGTCACCGCCCTGGGGCGTTGCCAATAAAGAGCGTCGGTACATACCTGTATCCTGTGGATGGCGATCAGCACCTCGGACAGGAACTGCACCACTAGGGGGACAAACTTGAGGAGTAATAAATGTCACCGCCCCTGGGGCGTTGCCAATAAAGTGTACCAGTACCTGTATCCTGTGGATGGCGATCAGCACCTCGGACAGGAACTGCACTGCTAGGGGGACAAACTTGAGGAGTAATAAATGCCCCCGCCCCTGGGGCGTTGCCAATAAAGTGTACCAGTACCTGTATCCTGTGGATGGCGATCAGCACCTCGGACAGGAACTGCACCGCTAGGGGGACGAACTTGAGGAGTAATAAATGTCACCGCCCTTGGGCGTTGCCAATAAAGAGCGCTGTATACCTGTATCCTGTGGATGGCGATCAGCACCTCGGACAGAAACTGCACCGCTAGGGGGACGAACTTGAGGAGTAAAAACGTCACCGCCCCTGGGGCGTTGCCAATAAAGATCGCCAAACGGTACCTGTATCCTGCGGATGGCGATCAGCACCTCGGACAGGAACTGCATCGCTAGGGGGACGAACTTGAGGCGTTATAAATATCACCGCCCCTGAGGCGTTGCCAGAAAACGCGAAACGGTACCTGTATCCTGCGGATGGCAATCAGCACCTCGGACAGGAACTGCACCGCTAGGGGGACGAACTTGAGCAGCGTGAACTGCAGCACGTTGTACAGGGCGATCGCCGTGAAGACTTTGGAGGGGGTGACGGTGTTTCCCAGCAACGTGTACGTCACGAAGGCCAGCAGAGAGATGACGCGGACGGAGATGTAAGAAAAGGCCAAGTTCAACCCTTGGGACGTGACGGCTTTGGCTATTTTCTGTACCTCCCGTCTACAATAAACACAGAAAACAGATGGGCATTACGTACAATGAAGGTTAGACATTCAGGTAACGATGAGGTACCAAGACTACATTTTCTTTACTCAACAGTTAATATAATTTGTTGTTAATTTTCCATTTTGCTTTTAGACATTGATATGCAAATTCAGTTCCATTATTATTTATATCATTTGTCATATCTATTTCGTATGTTTTATGTAATGTATTAGTTTGTTCCGTTTCTTTTATCATTACCCTTTGCTTGTACTCAATTTACCTTTTATTATGTTTTGTTATGTATGTATGACACAGGGAGCTTTGAACAGCGCCAAAATGGCGATATGCTAACCTGTATAAATAAATAAAAATGAAAAAATGAAATGTATGCACGACAAGTGGCAAAGCATGCATATTTGTATCAGCATCGGTGGTTCAGTGGTAGAATTCTCGCCTGCCACGCGGGAGGCCCGGGTTCGATTCCCGGCCGATGCAAAAGTACTTTTGTGTGTGTATGTGTGCACGTGTGTAATTTTAGTTCGACTGGTAGGCAAGAAATCCTGCCATCACTGGTTGGAGTCCTTCTATCCCAGACCTTCCTAGGAACAGGTATCATTTTACACTCTCCACCATGTGTAAAATCGTACCTTACTTCTGTTGTGCACGTAAAAGGCGGTAGAAGGGAGTGGGGAGGGAAGGGCTCTGCCTTCCAATACTGCACCCTAGACACAGTGGCTTGATTGGCTAAAAAAGGATATGGGACCTTTACCTTCTACGCGTACGTAGTATACACAAGTAGAAAAGGCAAACCAAACCTACCTTCGCTGTTTCTTGACCAGTGTGCCGAACGGTTCCTCCCAAGTGTACATTTTGATGACCCTCATCGCTGAGATGATCTCGCTCATGGTCCGCACCCTCTCGTCCGTGCGATGAGCCGTTTGCGACCTATCACGACAAGGAGATACTGGTCAATTATGAACTTAGAACCATCACATTGTGACGTCGACCTATCACAGCAAGGAAATTTGTCAACGGTGCAGTAGGAGTGTAGGACCGTAATATCCCATAGCAATCAAAATGGTCAATCAAAACGCAGGCTATCTTACAAACACATTGGTTGAATAGCTAACTTACTTTTGTAAATGTCATAGACAAGCGATTCCAACTCAGGGACCAAACATACAATAGATCTGTTTACTTTGAAATTTTGTATCGTTACAGGCACAGAATAAATAGTTTTCTTACCTTTACCTTTTAGCACATGTTTTTGTCAAAAAAATCCGTATGTTCATGTGTAGTGTAACTTGTATTTGTGACATTTCAAGAAATGGCTGTACCTGAACTTGCTGAAGAGTTTCCCCATAGCCGATTGAACGGGAAACAGAAAGAGCATGAACCCTAGGCCGGCAAGGCATGATGGTCCCAGCTCTCCCCAAAGTATAGCGCTGATGACAATGGCTTGTACCGGTCCGATCCAAAGGTAGTGAATAAATTGGAAACCCTATCGCACCAAAAACATCAAACATACATCAATGATTTCATCAGGTTGATGAATGACTGAATAGTGAAGTTCTTTATTCACACCCCCTTGTTTAACAAGAACCGACGTTTTGATGACCGCCTTTACGTTATATTCATCGGGGAATTAGATATCATGATTACTTTACGTTTGGAACTACATTGTTAGCAGTAACACCTAGCTTTCGTGCACAGTGAACCGGTATTCACTAGAATCGGTGCAATGGTTGTGAATGAAGAAATTCGATATTCATTCATCAAACAGTTTATTCAGCTTTGTCGGCGGTTTAATAGATAGTTATACGTCAGTGGACAGGGGTTACTGTTAACACCAGGGGGTGTTTTATTAAAACTCAATCAAATCATACAATTTTAATTATTTTTGAGAAATAGTCACGAACTCACGAGGTCGAATCTGTTGACGTCATTGGACATGAGATTGACGATCTGACCAGTCGTGGTCTTGAGCAGAGCCGCGTTACTGAGTCGCAATGCCTGGTGGGAAAGTAAAGTAAACCGTCGTCATGTTTTTTCACAGATACAGGCGCGCACATAGACACACACGCAGACAGACCAAAAACAATGCCTACATTTTCATGTTGGTAGCTATCTCCATGTAACATTGGGAAAGGAAATACATAGAGTTTACGTACCTTCATATGGAGATGGACTAGCTCGACAATTAAACTACTGCTCTGTTTATTCTTACTCAAATACAATTCATATATATATATAGTGACCAGCCTCAACAACTCTGTCCTGCTACATAATGATAATGTGACAGGGTGTCTGCCACAGCACCAGTTACCATGGTGACAGACTTGAAGTCCAGGTCAGTGACATTTTTTGTTTGCATTAGAAGGGAGGAAAAAGAGCAAAAACAATGTTCTTCTTCTGCGAAGGTAAACATGATGCACAACCTTTTTGTATATGATCGAGCAGCAGGCGACCCTCTTTCTCCAGCCCCACCGCGTAGTCGAGAAGTAGATCTGATGATGCAGCATGCCGCTGAGCAGGGCGCATGCGCTGATGCCGAACGCGCACAGGTAGGCTTGCGTCAGCGTCACGTGACTTCCGGGAGAGAAGTACAGGATGAGACGGCTCATGAGCAGGGGTTGGGCGACCTTCATGGTCTCCTGTGACAAGACTTAATGTAAATATGACAGGGATATCTAGAATGTTAACGGCCGATATTGCCATTATTACGTTTGGTCATTGATTGCTATAGTTAGCACGTACAAACAGATACAGAAACCCACAGCACAGTCACCCAAAATAGTACAACGCTTCCATATCAAGAAGAAGAACTAGAAATAAATGAAGACAACAGTTGTAAAGCAAACATATGGTCTAGACTAACAAACTGCTGGTGTATATGGTGCCCCTGCTGAGCCCCTAAAAACTCTGTCCTACCACTTGCTACATAATGTGACCCAACACCACAAGGTGTCTGCTACAGCACCAGTAGCATGATGATAGACGTCCGGTACAGTTTGGAGAAGAAGAAACAAAAGCAAAATGTTTTACTTCTGCGAGGGTAAACAAAAATACTAATTGTACCTCAATGACCAGGGGTATGCCGAGGAGAATCCACCCCTTTCCGTAACACCTCCCCAGAGCTCGAAGTAGACGAGGTTTACTGTAGTCAGATTTCTCCACATTCCACGCCCTATATAATAAACGTGACAGTAGTGTTCTGTGTTAAGCGATACAACCGTCAGAGATTGTGCTCATCAAAGCTGGTCCACAAGCAAATATCTTAGGGTCACGATTCTAGTCTCTGTCGACAGAGACTCGGGATGCTAAAGTACC